GTGATCTCGCATGAGTTCCTTGGTGTGCACAGAGAAGGCACGTCTGTCATGGATCACTTGAGGCTGCCAGAGGTGCTGATGAGCTCTTGGGAGGCTCCACTGAGCTCCTGTGCCATCCTGGCTGACCTGAGTTTGTGACCTGTCTGGCTGCTCTGCCAGGGCAGCAGAGGCTGCATGGCTCCTCACAGACAGACATGCTGGTAGAAAACTCTCTGCTCCCTGCAGCAGGGGAGAAAAGTCCTGAGACAGAAACAGGGGGAGCCCCAGAAACGTGTGCCCTGAGCAATTAGCTTTTTGGATTTGTTCTACAGGCATGGAAAGGACATTTTTTAGGGGAACAAAAAGCTGCTGTGTGACAAGCAGTGCCTGCTGAACCTACTTCCCCGTTCCCTTATTTGAGTTCCTGACCATATAGCAGGTGACCTGCTCAGCTCTCTTTAGGAAGCAGGTGGCCTCTGGCTTGTGGTTTTTTGGGGTTTGTTTGATTGGGGTTTTTTCAAATCTGGACTCTTGACTGGTTCCTTTTCTAGTACGTCTCGGAGGTGGTGATTGGAGCTCCCTATGCTGTCACTGCTGATCTGTTGGATCACTTCAGGGTGAGTCCTTGCATACAGATGGACATGAAGATGCTGGTGTGTGACATGCTTGGGGAGGTAAAGTGATGCAGGACAACACAGGGGTGTAAGAGGGAGGTGTCCTGCTCAGTGGGTTACAGGGAGCTCCAGAGGCACTGCCAGGCTGGTGCAGGAGGGTGGCTTTGCTGATCTCCACTCTGTGTTTAGTGGGAGCAGTGGCAGGGAATGTCCCTGTCATCTTTTGGATCTTGTCAGCAACTTTGTGTCCTTCTCCAGGTAACACTTGTGTGTCATGGGATGACTGAGGTGGTGCCAGACAAGGACGGTTCTGATCCCTATGAGGTAAGGTACCAGCTGCTTTGTCAGCATTTGGTAGACACAGCCTGGCTCTGGTTGAGTTCCTGGGCTGAGAAGGTGTATTGCAGAGGATGCTGCACGGGCAGGGCTGTGGCAGATGATGCTGGTTTTTATCTACCCCTGAGGGCAGCTCCTTGGAGCAGAGTCTGTAAATCATTCCCAACACCTCCACTCTTACAGGCACTGTTTTGCACTGCCTGTTTCTGATGCCTTCATGGCAGGGTGAGAAAATCTGTGTGCTTTGCTCTGTGCCAGACCTGGGCAGCTTCCACGTACATGTTCTGCCTCTGAGGAGATCGTTGTGCATCCTGCCTGGCTGGGCACTGCAGGACCTGCCACAGCTTGCTCAGCTGTCACTGCTGAGCTGCACACCCAGGTCCCGCGTGTTTTCACAGCCCAGTGCCGTGTCTGTTCACAGGAACCGAAGCGACGCGGCATTTTCCAGCTGGTGGACAGTGGCAGCAATCTCACCACAGATCTAATTGTGCAAAGAATCATAAAGAACAGGTTGGATGTCTTCGTCTCCCACTTCTGTCACATACTGTTCTGTCCAGAGTGTCTGGGGATTGATTAATGGGATCAAATGGGGAGAGAAGGGGTTGTCTAAAGGCACAGAGTCAGCAAACTGGTCCTTCCTTTTCCGTGGCTCGGGCAGGCTTTAAGTGTGGATGTACCAGTCTGTACAGGGAAAGGAGCAGCTGAACTCTGCTGTGTCAGAATGTGCCGAACGACATTTTTTTTGTTTTTTCTTCTTTATTAATGGTAAATTTCCTTGCTGTATCCTGTGCAAAAGAGCATGTTACTTCCTTCAGAGCTTTTCTGTTTTAGGCCTGAGCCCTTCACCTTCAGCGACCTTGGCTCAGATCAGTGGTAAATTTGATTTTTGGTGTTACTATTTGAGATGTCCCAGGACAGACCAAGAACAGAATAGTAGCTTTTTCCACAGAGGGAGAAGTAGTGTGGGAGCCCAGGACTGCAGTCATGTCAACAGACATGGGGACCTCTGGTAGAGGCTGCGGAAGAGTCCGGGGGCCCCAGGAGGGTTTCTGAAGTGCTCTCAGAACAGAACAGCATAGGAAAAGGCAGCACTCTCCTGCTCCAAGTGCTTTTGTCTACAGGAGGTGGGGATGGATGAGAATCTCAAGGTATTGTGTGATTGATGCAGGCTGGAGTTTGAAGCTCGGAACCAGAAGAAGGAAGCGAAAGAGCTGGCTGTACTGGAGGCCATGAGGAGGCTGGAGGAGGAGAAGCACTAGGCTGCAGAGCGTGGATGTGTGGGCCACAGAGCGCTGCAGCCTCGCCCTCTGCGGGAGCAACAGCTCTTCAGGAAGGGACCCCTGACGGGGGCAGCGCTGCCGGCACACAGGATGTGCTGTCCTACCCTCTGCTGTCCTAGCTCCTCCTGCACTAATTACGCAGACATAACGAGTTGGGATCCCGCTGCCTAGTTTTATCTCTGTTAATCAGCCCCCGTTCCCTTTCCCAGAAGGAGATTTGACAAAAAAAATGGTTTTAATTATAACTAATGTTTTAACATGTTGATGTGCTTTTACCTTCTGCCATTTCTGGCTCTTAGTAGGAGGGAAGTGGAGCAGCTGCCCAGGCCCCCTGCCCTGCCAGACTTGGCTGTCCTGACTGGGGTCTGCATTCCAGAGCAGCCCCTTGGGCAGAGGTGGGGGTGGCTTGACAGTGAGAGTGGCCTCAGGCTGGGGGGATGTGGCCCCCACAGTTCCTCCTGCAGCTTTTGCTTAGAGCCATCAGTGCTGCTGCTGGAGGTGCTTCTGGGCTCTGGGGTCCACTGTGCTGCCTCTCCTCAGCTCCTGCCCCTGTGCAGATCCAGAGCTACTCTGGGTTGAGCTGGATAAAGGCAGATCATTTGCTGCTTCAGTGACAGGCAGTGGGTGGTACCTGCTGAGGGGACAGGTGGTGCAGGGACCCTCAATTGAGGCATTTCTCCACATAAGGCATGGGAACCCTGGGATCTTCTCCCAAAGTCTCTTCCATTTGTGAGACAGCAGGACCTGGTGCCTTGTGTGGACTGTGCTCAGAACCCCCCTTGTTGCTGCTGCCAGAATCCACCTTGTGCCCAAGGGGTTACATGAGGATGGGACCTGGCCAGGTGAAGTTTTGGGGTTGTTTTCTGAGGACTGATGTGCAGCACGTGTGCTCCTGTGTGGAGATGCAGGGCCTGAGGAGGATGGGTGCTGGGCTGAGCCCCTTCTGCCTCTTACATTCCAGGGTGCTGTGGTGGGCAGCCTGAGCTGCTCCCTGCACTGGGCCAGACAGTCCTGCCAGGCTGGGTCTGGTGTCCTCACTGTTGTAAACTTTTGTTGCTGATCATTAATAAAATGTTGAAGAGTTGTGCACTGGTCTCTTTAGGGCTCGAGCCCAGGTAGCAGAAAGGGGGTACAGGGGATGTGTGCTGGGACCCCACCGTGCTGGGGCTGAGCATGTTCCCTGCATGGCAGCTCCCAGTCCCAGGGCTGGCACAGCAGCTCTGACTCCGAGCTGTCGGTCCCTTCCTGGGGTCTGCCAGCTGCGGAATGCACAAATTCACCCTCTGCAGTGCACAGCCCCCTCCCACGGGCACTGCAGAGGAGTTTGTCCTTAAGGACAAACAGCTCAGCCCTGGTGACGCATCTGCCCCGTCGCTGAGCCACCCCCAGGGCAAGGCAGGTACCGCTGGTATTAAAAAATGACAGAAGCATTTAATTGCCGCTGTCGCCGGGTGGGTGCTGCGGGTGGAACTCATTTGTGTGGGGATGTCAGCCCCTCTGGCTCAGCTGGAGCTGCTGTTCCTCGGGGCCTCCGGAACTGCTGCTGAGTTTACTGTGAGAACTTTTGACATATGATGTTCCTTCCTCCAAGTGCCTCTGGGCTCTTCTGCTGAGCTGTTTACTGACAGCCCCCGAGTCCCAGGGGCACAATTGAATATGGAGTTAAAAGGGGGGGGGGGGCAGGGAAATAGCCTGAATTCCAAGTTTGTGACTTTGTTTTCTGTGGTTTGTTTGTTGTGGGGTTGTTTTGTTTTGATTTGTGGGGTTCCCCCCACATCCCCCAGGTGCAGATCAAGACCCTGGTTCCAGCACCCATCCCAGGGCAGCCTCCCCAGAAGGAGATTGCAGTGCGTGTTCCCTGGAGCCAGTGCCTGTAAGTACAGCCCTGACCCTGCTGAGGGGAGCAGCAGCTTTGGCCCAGACCCCCCCAAAGCAGGGCTGCAGATGGGGGGCTGCAGGCAGGAGCTCAACACCGAGACTGGAGTTGAGTCTGTGTTATTGCTGAGCTCGGCACCAGGGGCCTGCGGTGCCATGCTGACCCCCCTGGGGGTCTCCAGGCCATAACCGTGCTGGCCCCCCCCACAGTGGGGACACTGGGCCATGTCCCCTGCGGCAGTTGGTGGCCCTGGTGCCCACCAAGGTTCCTGCACAGGTGCAGCACCAGCAGCCTCCACCTGGGCTGGACCATGCCAAGGATGGTGCAGCAGGTCAGGGCCTTGGTGGGTCAGGTCTGCAGCTGAAGGGGGAAGCTCCTTGGCTCCTTTCCTAATGAGCACAGTGGCCACTGGGGTCAGCACAGCCCTGGGAACCCTCCTGGGGTCGGAGACTGCGGCCAGATTGGGTGCTCTGCTCCTGGCCTCACCCTGGGGACGAGGTGCCCACCCTGGGTACCTGTCCAAGGATGCCCTTGCCAGGGAACAGCTGGTATTGGGGGGCTGCTGCCACCCCTGTCTTATCACTGAGCCCATGTCCTGTTGCTGGAGCTGCCCCAGAGTCTCCAGCAGCGCAGGGTCAGCACGGCCTTCCTGTCACTGGGGTGAAGGGACGGGAGCGCCATGCCTGTGGTCGCTCCCTGTCCAGCCCAGCCCCTCTGTCCCCCCACACTGTGTCCTGCAGCCCCCAAGGCCTCGGGCTGTCCTCGGGGCTCAGGGATTTTGTTCTGCCAGGTGTCTGAGCAGCCCCGGCACCGCCAGAGGGAGTGGGGATGCTCAGCAGCCCAGAGCTCCCCAGATCCAGGTGGGCTCCCCCTACCCCACAGCACCTCCCTGCCCTGCAGGACAGACACGACAGAGCCAGCCCAAGCACTTTTATTATTTCCCCAGAGCCACCAGTGCCGGCTCAGGACACCGCACACTCCACAGGGTCCCAGGACATGCTCACATCCGCCCTGCACCGGAGAGCTCTGGGCACTCCCGGCAGCGCCCGGCAGCTCCGCGGCTCGGGGGCCACATCCGTCAGGCACAGCACCTGCGGGAGACACGGTCACGGGGCCGGCGGCAGAGTTGGGGAGCCCCAAGCCTGCTCCGGGCCCCACTCGTGCTGCTCGCTGCAGAGCATCGCGGGGACAGCGCAGCCACAGCACCCGCGGTGGGAGCACGAATCGTGCCCAGCGCCCCGCGGGGAGCAGCTCCAGCTCCCGGTACTCACGGTGGCGCGGAGCGCGCGGTCCAAACGGGGCGGCACCTCGGCGCGGCCGGGCTCGGAAGAGCCGTCGGTGTCGGAGCGACGGGTGTGCGGCGGGCGGCGGAGGCTGGAGAGCAGACCCGAAGCTCTGCCCACCGAGTAGTGGAGGGGCCGGGCCGCCTGTCGGTACCAGGGCTCGGCAGGGCGGCACAGCACGAGCAGCGCCAGTGCCAGGGCAGCGCGCATGGTGCCAGCGGGGCCGCAGCGCTCGGGGCCGCCGCCGCCTTTATGGTCGGGCGGGGGTCCCGCCTCGCCGCCCCCGTCGCGGCGGCGCGACCCGCCCCTGCAGCCCCGGGACGGCGCACACGGACACGCGAGCGGCGGCAACGCGGTTGTTGGGCGGGGCCGGGGCCGGGGCCCCCCGTTCCCCTCGTGCCCGGTGCCGCCGTCACTCGCGGAACTTCCACTCCTGGCGGCACATGGGGCAGTGCTGCTGCACCTGCTGCGAGTTCAGCCACTTCAGGATGCAGTGCATGTGGAAGCAGTGCGAGCACTGTCCCCACACCAGCGGGCAGTCGTCGCCGGGCACTTTACCTGCAGCACGGACACACCGTCAGACCCGCTGGGTGGGCGGTGCGCGGTGCCCGGTGCCGGTGCCGCACTCACAGTCGGGGCAGCAACCGTTGAACGCCATCCGGCAGATGCCGCAGTTCTCGTCGTTCGCCACCCAGAGCCAAGACGCGACCCCGTGCCAGCTCCGCACGCGCACCCGCATGGCCGCCCCCGCTCGGCCCGGCCCCGCCCCTGCCGGAAGTGCCGCCCCCCCAGCACCCCGCGCGCCGGCAGGAGCGCGCGTCCGCCCCGCCCCTTCCGCTTCCGGCGCGGGAGTAGCGCGGCCGGAAGTGCGGGCGGGAGCGGAGCCGCCATCATGGCCGACAAGATGGACATGTCCCTGGACGACATCATTAAGCTGAACCGGAGCCAGCGCGGGGCCGGCCGGGGCGGTCGGGGCGGCCGGGGCCGGGGTGGTGCCGCCCGAGGGGGCGGGCCCGGCCGGGGCGGCGTGGGCGGCGGACGCGCGGGCGGCGGCCCCGTGCGGAACCGGCCGGTGATGGCCCGGGGCGGCGGCAGAAACCGACCCGCGCCCTACAGCCGGGTACGGATCGGGGGGCCGGGGCTCGGGACGGGGCGGCGCGACGGGACGGGACGGCGGGTCCACGCGAGCGGCGGCGCGGGCGGTCCTTTGTCCGCTCCCGGCGCGGCCGGGGGGCTGCGGGGCCCCGGCGCCGGTCAGCGAGGTCCTGGTCTTGTTGCAGCCGAAGCAGCTCCCCGAGAAGTGGCAGCACGACCTGTTTGACAGCGGCTTCGGGGCGGGGGCCGGCGTGGAGACCGGCGGGAAGTTGCTCGTCTCTAACTTGGACTTCGGCGTCTCGGATGCGGACATCCAGGTGGGGCTCGGGGCGGCGCCGCGGGGGGCGCGGGAGTTTCATTCATTCCGCCAGGGTCGGGTGCCCGCGAGAGCCCCACCGGCTCCGCGCCCGCCTGCGCCCGAGGCCGAGGATTCCCGGGTGAATCCCCCGTGACAGGGTTTGTGCCGCGGGTGCCTGCCTTGGCGCGGGCCCGGTGCTCCCGAGGGGGGCTGAAACAGCTGGTTATAGATGCTTCGCGAGGGGCTGAGCCGTGGCACACGCGGGAACGATGCTGCGCCTCGACTGGTTGGAGCCGAGACTGGAGAATTCCGTGTGAGCTCTGAGCTCCTCTCTGTGCAGCTGCAGCCGTTTCTGAGGCGCCGCATGCGCGTCCAGGGCTCTGCTGCCGTGTTGGAGCGTGTCCTACTGGACACCGAGGGGTTCCCTGGATGCACGGGCAGGGTGACCGGAGAGGTGTCCCATGGCCGTGCCCCGGTCAGAGCCCGCAGTGCCCGCAGTTGGTGCCTCTGCCCTGGAGACTGGACCAGAGGAACGTGTGGTTCCTGTGGGCACTGAGCTGGGTGCCAGGTGTGACCCCTGGGGGCTCCTGGCCTGGGTGCACTGCAGGGCACAGCCATCAACATGGGCTCTGACCTTGTGTCTTCATCAGGGAAAACCAAACCCTTGCTGTCAGACCTCCCTCATCATCCTTCAGTCCGGTCCCTCCAGCACTGCTCTGGCTGGGCCTGGGGAATGAAGGGAGCTCTGTCGGGTCACTGAGGAGCGTGCTGGATACCACTCTTTTCTTGCTGTGTTTCCATTTCCATTCCTGCAGACTGGGTGTAAATAAGTCCCTGTCTGTTGCAGTGAGGCCAGGGTGTAAAATGTGGCTCTGCGCAGCCCTTGCGCTTCGTGTATGGTGGGACTCACCTTCCTGCCCCTGCACGAGCTGCCCGGGGCTTTGTTTAGCAGCAGAGCTGACTCAATGGCTTTAGCCTTATTTGTTACTCCCAGCCCCATCATTTAGTGCTGCCTTAAGTGTGGGGTTGGTTTTGTTGCTGCGCTAATTCCTCACAACGTGGTGCAAGTGGCTGAGGCAGCTGTGCCCGCGGAGGAGCCGCGCGGTGTCACTGCCCGTGTCCCTGCGGCGGGAGCAGCTGGGCCTGGGCTCTGGGCATGGCTGGCATGGCCTCGCTTGGGCTGGAAGGTGGCTGCTGGATGCCCTGTGCTGGGAGCACCGTGCCTTGGGCACGAGTTGGCATGGGCAGGGCTGGGCAGTAATGCCCAGCAGCAGCTCCCTGGGCCCTTGTGGGACAGCCCTGGTGGGAAATTCACCATGGTGAGTTGTCCTCGTTGACTTTCCAAATGTAGCACCTGTGAAACAAAATTGGTGGCTTCATTGCTGCCTTTTCCAACCTTTGTGGCATCAAAGGACAGACCTCAGCAGGGAACTTTGCTGGTCTCAGTTTTTGGGGTATGTTCCTAATGGGCACAAGTAAAGCACAGTGCAACTGCCATCATCTTGTGGATTCCTGTGCTTACATGGCTCATTCTCTGTGAGAAGGATGTCTGGCATCCGGAGTATTTTCAATAGTTGCCCCTTTGACTCGGCCTCAACAAACACCCTCAATTTCTCTGGGAAAAGAAACAGATTGGCATCTCTTGAGTCTGTTTGACTGGCTGTAAACGTGCTCCTTCAGGAGGTGAATGCAGAGCCCTGCTTGGTTTTGCCATGTGTGGCAACTCCCAGAAACTCCCCAATGGGCTGTGCTCCCCTCTGCCATTGGTGTGTTCCCAGGCAGCCCGTGGTGCTTGGAAAGGCACCAGTGCTCACCAGGCGTGGCTGTGTGGGGAGCTGCCGTGTTGGCAGCGCTGACAGACAGGCACACTCCTCTCTCTGTCGTTCTCAGGAGCTCTTTGCAGAGTTTGGGACCTTGAAGAAGGCAGCTGTGCACTATGACAGATCTGGTCGCAGCTTAGGGACGGCAGACGTGCATTTTGAGAGGAAGGCTGATGCTCTGAAGGCGATGAAGCAGTACAACGGGGTCCCCTTGGATGGTGAGTCTCTGTGCCGTCTCCATGGCCTGTTTCTGTGGCTGGAGTGGAGCAGCTGGCACATGTGTGCCTCGCTCCCTCCCTCCCTTCCTCCCAGCCCTGTCCTGCACTGGCTCACGTGTGCTCTCCCTCCCTCCAGGGCGCCCCATGAACATCCAGCTGGTGACATCACAGATCGACACGCAGCGGAGACCAGCACAGAGGTGGGGGAGCCCCTGCCCCAGGCACAGGGTGGGGACCTGCTGGGCCCCTCCCCAGTGGGGAGTGCAGGTCCTGTTTGAGTTCACTGAATGCACTAAAACAGTTGCTTTTTAAAACTCACAGTGTAAACAGAGGTGGCATGACCAGAAACCGTGGGGTCTCGGGGGGATTTGGAGGTGGAGGCAACAGGCGAGGGACTCGTGGCGGGAACAGAGGGAGAGGCAGAGGAGCTGGAAGAACTTCCAAACAGCAGCTCTCTGCAGAAGAACTAGATGCACAGCTGGATGCTTACAATGCCAGGGTAAGTGCTAATTGGGCACTCTCACAGGCTCTCTGCAGCGTCTCGTCCTGGGCAGCACTGGCAGCCTGGAGCTGGCAGGAAAGGGAAAGTGTTTTCCAGGACCTTGGACTGAAGCAATCTCTCTCTGAAGCTGAGCTGTGCCTTGGCCCAGGCCTTGGCTTCGCTTTCCAGAGCACATTGTTACCTGCTGTTACTGATGGCTGAGGAACAGCCTCTGCTCTTGCTGGGCTGGGACAGCTCCTCCAGAGCCAGAACCCCTGCAGAATAAAACCCGCAGAGCTGAGAGGTGCAAGACTGGGAAAACAGAAAGGAAAATCCCACGTGAAAGAACTGTGTGGGGTGCTGCCAGGGGAAGGCTGCAATGCTGGTGGTAGAAATGAGCCCCAGCGTGGGGAACTGCTTGCCAGTCACAGCCTTCAGACCTCGCTCAGCCGTCTGTGCCGTGGCCAGGTCAGAATCCCAACAGGGCCAAGGCTGCGAGGGCACCGCAACAGCACAGTCGGTGCAGGGCTGGGACAAACCAGGGCGAAAGCATGGAAGGATTGGCATGAGCAGGATTCCAGAGGCAGCCGTGGGGCAGCGCAGGGGGCTGGGGCCGGGGGGGTGCTGCCAGGGGGGCTCGAACTCGCCCTCCCCATCCCACAGCGCTGGGGGCTCCACCAGGGCCAGGTGGGCTGCGTGCAGGGGGTGCTGGGGCGGTACCAGGGGGTGCTGCAGCACGTGGTGATGGTTCCCTCTCTCTCCAGATGGACACTAGCTAAAGCAGCAGTGGCGGGCGAGGGAAGGACTCCGATCTTGCTCCACACTCCCAGCGGGGGCTGCGGCTGTGGCTACTACTACCGAGGATGGGATTTGTTTTACTTTTATGTTCTGGGATAGGTTTTAACTCCTGTAAAGGTTTTTTTTAATTCTGAGCAGACCTGTTTTGTACCGAGTTATTTTTGGGATAAATTTTTCTGGTTGCCTGTTGGGCCGAGGTGGCTTTTTCACCTTTGCCATAATAAAATAGAACCGTGTCTAGAGCTGTGGCCGCTGCCTTGCCGCATCGTGCTGGGCCCTGCGCCTTCCACCCACCACCGCGCTCTGCCCCGTCCCAGTTTTGCCCTGCCGGTCCCGGTCCCATCCCGCTCTGCCCCATTCCCGTTCTGTTCGCGCCCCGTCCGTGCCCCGTCACGGTCCTGCCCTGCCCCACTCCCGCCCCGTTCCGTTCCCGTTCCTTCCTCGTTCCCGTCCCGCTCCTGCCCTGCCCCGTTCCCGCTCCCGTCCCGCCGTGCCGCGGTCCCGCCCCGCGCGCGCCCCCGGGCCAATCCGCGCGCGGCCGTGGCGGCGGGTCCCGGGAAGCGCCGGGCGTGTCCCGGAAGTGCGGGGGCGCGCGGGCCTGGGCGGATCCGCGGCGGTGTCGGCGCAGCGCGGAGCGAGCGGGGCCGGTACGGCGGGGCCGGCGGGGCGGGGCGGGCCGGGGGGCTCGGGCCGCGAGAAGGGCCGGGCCGCGGGAAGGGCCGGGCCGGGCGCGCCGCGCTGGCTCTGGCCCGCGGGAAGGGTCGGGCGCGGCCGAGGGTCGGGCGCGGGGCCCCGGGTGCCCTTGCGCGACCTTCCGAGGGCCGGGGGAGCTGCCGCCCCCGGCGGGGCCGGGCCGGAGCGGAGCGCGCGGGGCTCGGGCCCGCGGCGAGGGCGGAGCGCGGGCGGCCTGAGGGGCCGCGGCGGCTCCGAGTCCCCCCGGACTTCCCCTGTGCTCTGGGCGAGGGGGGACATTGCCGGCCCTCCGCGTCCCGGGGCCGGCGGGGCCTCTGGCGCACGCGGGTTGTCCATAAATGGCCGCTCGGTACGAA